CCACAGCAGCTCGATATTCTTAGGCAGGCTCAAATTCGGGCCCAAGCCGTTAACCGTAGCTCGATTTTTGGCCCAATAGACGATGCTGTGGCCAACCAGCCAGATGCGCACCCGCTTGCATTCTGAAAGGAAAAATAGGCAGAGAAAGCAGGGTCAGGGGAACCATCAAAGTCACAGGTTCTTTCTCACATAAGCTTTGTATGCGTTAGATTTCCACCTCCCCAAGTCCTTAATCCTCTCTGCCGAGAGCCCAAGATGCACTGCAGTAGTCGCCGCCCCGATCCTGAAAGAGTGGGCTGCAAAATCGGTTGCGGGCAGACCGCAGGCGGCCAACGTCATGCGCATCACCCTCGAAAACTGATGTCTGGCCAAGAGTGATCCATCCGCGTGAATAAACAGGGGGCCAGGACCCTTGGGTCTTAAGTAGAGGAAACGCCTCATATCCCTAACCGGACATGGACCACTATCTTTTGCCGCTGGTAAACGCAGGAGAGCCCCCCTACCCTGTTGGTCCGTCTTGGAATTTCGGACCTGAATTATTAGGTCAGTCTCCGATAGGGTCAGATCACTTAAAAGGATGCCCCTCTGGGAGTGGTCAGTCCCCCCTTCGCAGACGACCTCGCCTATGCGCAAGGCGCCAAAGAAGGCTATGGAATATGCGGCCGAAAATAGTCGAGCTTCGTACTTTGACCAGCAAATCTCTCTTAATTTTTTGTGCATCTGGGTCAGAATATCATACGTGATGGGTTTTCTCTTGTCGGAGCTGGGGGGCTGTTGCCGACGCCAACCCTCTAAAGTCTTACGCACGATAAATTGCGCACACGGGTCGGTGGCAAAAAAGGCTTTACAAAAGTAAGAAATCCCCGCGGACTGAATATTGAGAGTCCTCGGTGCCCGGCCCAGCTTCTTCAAATGGGTTAAATAGCGGAGGACCTCCCTCGTAGAGGGCACCGCGGTTCGCCTAGCGCACGGCATACTGCCGCGGAACGTTAAGAAGTCAGCCCAGGCTTTCCCATATGATCTCATTGTGGATGGGGCGACTGCACCGAATACTCCCTTCATCACTTCCTGTTCCCAAGGCTCCAGAGATGCTCCGGGAAAGACATCGATGATTGCTCCGCGTCCGGCGCTAACGAGCGGAAGCGCTCCATCTGAAAACGAGATAGAGCGTCCGCGATGTCGTTATTAACCCCAGGTACGAATTTGGCGGAGAAGTATATATTCTGTTCCAGGCAAAGGAGGACAAAGGACCGAAGCAAGTTTCCCACCCTGGTAGAACGCGCGGATTGCCTAGAAAGAACCGCGACCACCGCCTGGTTATCTGTGTTAAAACAAACCCTATGATTACGGAACTGCTCCGCCCAAAGATGTACTGCAACCACGATAGGGAAAAATTCCAGGAAAGTAAGGTCCCGAGAAATGGGTTGGCCCTGCCAGTCTGCGGGCCATTTCTGTGCGCACCACTGACCCCTGAAATAGACACCGAAACCCAAAGACCCCGCAGCGTCAGAGTGAACTTGGAAATCTGCGTCCAGTGCCAAGGAATCCTGCCATAGGGATATACCGTTGTACTTGTCAAGGAATTGTAACCACATTACCAAATCTGCTTTGACTTCCTTAGAGAGGCGTACTCTATGCTGCGGGGCCCTCAGGCCCGCGGATAGTCTGGCCAGACGTCCGCAAAAGGGGCGCCCTGGCGACACTACCCTGCAGGCGAAATTTAGGTGTCCCAGCAGGGATTGAATTTGCCTCAGGGTAACCTTCTTTAGGGGCAGTAACTGCTGTATGAGGGCCTTAAGAGCAAGCAATTTGTTTGCAGGCAACCTGGACGTCTGGGCCACGGTGTCTAACTCAATACCGAGATAGACCAAAGAGGTGGCCGGACCCTCAGTTTTCTCAGCGGCTAGCGGAACCCCCAGCTCCCCGGCTAGGGTAGTGAAAGCCTCTAGGAGGGAGGAGCATCGTTGTATGGTATCTGCCACTAAAATAAAATCATCGAGGTAATGAGACACGCCCTGAGAGCCGGTTTTGAAGCGTAATGCCCAATCAAGAAATGTACTAAATGATTCAAAGGCTGAGCAAGCCACAGAGCACCCCATAGGCATAGCCTTGTCGATGAAATAGGCTCCCCCAAAACTGAAACCCAACCAGCGGAAATCATCCGGATGGACCGGAAGAAGGCGGAAGGCAGACTCGATGTCGCATTTTGCTAAGAGTGCCCCTTTCCCAAAACCGCGGATCATTTTCACTGCTTGATCGAAGGAGGCGTATTTCACCGTGCACAGCTCGTGGGGGATCGCGTCATTGACCGAACCTCCTCTTGGGTAAGAGAGGTTGTGGATCATGCGGAACTCCCCCGGGGCCTTTTTAGGCACGATGCCAAGGGGGGACAGGTGAAGTCCCTCCAAGGGTGGGTTGAGGAAAGGGCCAGCCACCCGACCCGCTCTAATTTCTTTTTCAATCTTTTTCTTAACTATCTCTGGCCTTTCCCTAACTGATTTTTGATTTTTTGGATTCCCAGCATTGGGCGGGAAAGCTACTGGGATTCTGAATCCTTTGGAGAACCCCTCCCACAAATAAAGCGCGGCTTTGCGATCGGGGTATTGCTCGAGGAGGAGTTTGAGCGGCTGCAAACGGACGGGGGAGAAGGCCAAACCCAGGTGCTGATTACTGGCGGTTACCAGATCCTTGGTGGGAAGATCCGGGGGCACCTCTGATGTTATTGTGGAAGTACCCCCTGCCCCCCCGAAAGGGCTGCTGCTTGTTCTTGAAGCACGCGGATGCGGGGTGACTCCCCCAGCACCGGTCGCACTCATGCAAATACTTACATGAGGGTCTCGAACACGCGCCCCTGTTGAACTCCCAGCAGAGGCGACGTCGTTTTACCTCTATCTTACCCGCCTTGGCCGAAGCTAAATTTTTCTTATCGATGTAGGGATTGACGTCCTCGCCCCAATAGTTCGGGTCAGTCAGGTCCCAACGGGTGGAAGGTAGGAGAGAAGCATTTCTACGAAAGTTCTCATCATATGTTAACGCAGCTTGCTCCCCTGCGAGCGAGTGAGCCCGCCTCACGTGAGCCAGGTAGGCAACCAAATCCATTGAGCGCCGCGGATAAGCAGCGCAAACGACACCCATAAAGACCTGGTACCCGTCCAACCAGTTCTCGAAGGTGCGCTCAGCCCTGGGGGTCCTGTATCTTCCTTTACCGGAAGAGCGCCTCTTTTCACCTTTTCCCAATAGTTTGGCAGGTGGGAGCAGGGTGAACATATCCACATAGTCCCCATTAAGGATTTTATTCCTTTTCCTCTGGGACAAATGGTTCCCCAGAATGAAGTCGGTGGACTGATTGGTGGCCACCTTTACATCCTCTACCAAGGCCCCATCCTTCCAATCCAGCACCCCATTAAAAGTCTTACGATGGGAATTGGCTCGCCTCTCATGCGCCCAAAGCGGGATCCCATGGTTCCCTTCACCCAAGCCCCAGTAAGCATCCATGGGGCCCTCACTGTCAGAATCAGAGGAAGACGTACCTGAGTCATCCTCTGTATCGGGCTGTTTGCTCCTTTTCTTTTTTGAAGAGGTGTGCTTCTTCTTAGATTTTCGTTTTCCACCCTGGACCTCTGGGACGGGCGAATTCGTTGCAGTCGGCTGCTGCACAGGTTGAGCTTCCCCATGATCCTCCTCTAAGCCGGAACCCGAACTGTCCTCGGTCAAACTGTGCTGGGGCTGCTGCTCCTGGAAAACACTAGGTATGCCTACAGCCTGTGAAGTGGCATCGCTACCCGTCCCTTTTGACGTGACTTTTCCCTTGCCGGAGCTTTTTCCCGATGCTTTACCCCTACCAGTGCTCTGATTGGCCCTTCGCGTAATGGCTGCCTGAGCCCTAGTGTTAGGACGACCTGCGTTTTGGTTCCCCAACTGCACACTGCCTCCTGCGGCGGCTGGGATTCCTTGCTGGCCTTGGTAGATGGGAGGAGTGTCTGGTATTACCTCCTGTGACGGTTCCAGGGCAGGGGTAGCCAGAGGCCCGGGCCTACATTGCCTATAGAAGGTTTCAAATGCCCGGAAAAATTGAGCAAAAGCTTGTGGGTCGCAGGGCATGGCCCCCATTTGCACACTACCATTACTTGTGCCAGGTGCGGGTTGATTTCCAGAAGTGGATGCCTGTTGGTCCCCACCAGAGGCCATGACAACTGTACACGAAACTGATTGCAACTGGGGAACGCCACTAACAAAAAATATTTATATGAATATTTATTTATATGAATATTTCAATAAACTAATTTAGTAAACTGGCCTGTATGCCAGACGTAGCCAATTGCGTTAAGCTCCAATTGCTAGAAAATTAATTGCTAGATAGGCTGGGAGCTATAAAGTATTGCTGCCAATTAAGTTTAATTCCCCCCCCCCCTTTTATGTACTCACCCTATGTATTTGTATCTATGCAGTTATAAATATGATATATGTATATATATGATATATATTCTGTTAGCCTGGTATTAAAAAATTAGGATTATTCGAAATATACAACTCTGATTATTAGTGAACTACCTTTATCTTAGCACGGATGTATTAAGCAGATAAATGCGACCAAAACAAGTAAGGCAAAAGAAATTTTATTGCAGCACCACTGATGCTGCAAGCAGCCCCCTTTCGAAGTTTATTATATTCACGCTGCCCGGAAAGCTCCCCTGTCAGCGTGGCCGCAGTATATCTACGTTGCCGGCTCCCCCAAAAGCAACCTAAAACCCAGGGAGACCAGAGCGAAGTAAGCCCTTAAAGGAACAACGCTGTAAACCCAAAGCAGTTTTTAGAGAAAGGCAGCGGTAAGTCAATCTATATCGGGGGCCTCACACCCCTTTAAAGCAGGCTATAAATCACCAGGGAAGCTGCACCAATTGTAGCCACGCCGCTAATAGAGGGCGCGCCGAATCCGAGAAGGTGTTTATACGCCCTCCCCAAGATGGCTGCCTGCACCGACACACGTGGACCCTACCAAGATGGCGTCCGATAACCGCTCCTGCCCCCCTGCCTGTAGGCCTATTTGGCTGCGGAGGCTTTCTGCCTCACTTAAAATGGCGGGCGCGAGCGATTCCCGACCACGTGGGGAGCTGGGAGGCGTTGGTTAATGGCCGTTACCTAGGGAACCAGGGACGCTTCCGCGCTATGCAGCCGCCCCCCCCCCCAGTGAAGAACAGGAACGGCAGCCGGAAAAAACCAAGCGAGACAGCAAACGCCGCACAAGTTGCAGCAACCCGGCCGACAGAAAAGCAAACAAAAGGGGAGACCCCGCAGCCAAACCTCGCTCCTCACGTCTCACGCAGCCACCCGGCCAACAAAGGGCAAACAAAAGGGGAGACCCCGCAGCCAAACCTCGCTCCTCGCGTCTCACGCGCCGCGTCCTGCCGTCCCAGCAACCTCTGTCGGAGAACGAGAAGACCGCAGCAGAAGGCGGAAGCTTGGAGAAAATCCTGATAGACGAGGTCCGACGCCAACCGAGGACCGAGCACGAACCGCGAAACCGCGAGGCCCCCGCGACCGAAGGCGCGACCGGGACAGGGAGTCCGAAGCAGCTGAACAGCGGTGGTTTAAAATAGTGATTTCAGCTCTCTTCTTGTCTTGCTGCTTCGACTCTCACGGTCGGCTCGGCGCTCGCTGCAAGGCTCGGAGCTCGGGCGCAGAAAAAACCTGCTCAAAAAACCTGCTCCAGCTGGCGAAGGGAAAGAGGGCGGTCCCCGGGCATGCCTGGCCTTAAGTAGCCCAGGCCACGCCTCCCCAGCCCGCCGATTGGCGGGTTGGATCGCGGGCACGCCCGGGGATTCCCCTGATCTCGCGGGGGCGATCGCCCGCCCCCGCGCGTGTGGGAGGGGGTCGCCCGCAACCCCCTCTCCTCGCTAGTTCGGAAATGGCTTTGTCGGAAGCAATGTGCTTTAAATGTGCAGTGTGTCCGCAACCGAGGCTGCAAGCAGCTACCTCTTACAAAAAGAGAAGAAAAAAGAATGAAGTCTCAATTATTCTGCAAGCAAATGTACCAATATGGCTACTGGGTGACAATGGAAACTTAGACATAGGGCATTTGATATAGTCTGTTGACTGATCTGCAAGCACATCTGCACTGCAGGGTGTCATAACAAAAGAAGGCTCATTCATTTGACTCATTCAGACTACAAGCACTACTCACAACAACATTAAAGTAATATCATGACTAAGTTATTTCTGGTTTTAGACTATCTGCAGTCACATCTAGTTATTTGTTTTCTGGGGGTACTCAAGGGTAGACAGTACCAGCACCTTTCCCCCTGCATGTTAAAACTGTGGCACTTACTGTAACAATGCCAATCCAATCCGAATAACTTTATTGTACTAGCCATTGAACATGACAAATCTGAATCCAAAAATAAATACAAGCAAAAGGGATGTCATGCCACAAATAATGGTATCTATTTAGATCTCCACGTCTCCCTTACAGTTCACTGCTATATTATCCTGGGTCTTCTTTCTGATCTTTTGGCCGCCAAAGGAAAAAGGGTGACTTTATGAGTCACTGAAGCATTTACATCACTAAGAAGCCATAGGACCTTCTCTGCTGGGGAGAGAAATCTTTCTTGTTTGGACGGAAAGGTGAGAAATCACCTCCTGGGTCCAATGTATAGTGGACAATGTAGTAAATAGTGCAAGATGTCTTCCACTTGAGGTTGCCCACATATACAGAGTCTGTCTTCGTACGGCACTCTGTTATATCATCCATCCAGGACGGCAGAGGGCATAGCTTGGAAACACAGGTCAGTAAAAGTGGATCTAAGTGAGGCTGGCAGGAGATTCAACAGGTAACTGGCTCTAAAATGCACTGTTTTTAGAAGGGGGAACAAAGGAGAGAATTGAGAGGTTTTGACCGCTTGCAGATCATGTAGTGATTCTCTCCAGTGGCACCAATTGCAACAACTTCATGGTGAGTACTGGCACCTTTTTTTTTCCTAAAAAAGAAGAAGCACTGGTCATATCCATATTTAAATGTGGAAGAAAATCTAAGGAGACAATGATGAACTTTTCTGAAAGTCTGTTGTTATTTTGTCACGGTTCCCATGGCATGCAGTTATAGTAACTTTCCTCTCTATCTTGCAATTTCTGCGGCCACAAAGCTCCTTTTTTGAGGCTCAGGATATTGCTCCTGGGTCCTTTCCCCCCCTTTACTCCCTCTACTAAAGAAGTTTCTATTTTCAGATCACTAAGAGTGAATTCAGAGAACACACCAAAGTCTCATTCAGTTGTTTACCAGCTCATCATGGGCAAATTATCCCCCATTGACATCTAATACCCACATATACTAAACCATCATATTAAAAAAAGAGTGCTGAAAGCTTCAGGTGTACATATTACCTTGAGATCATTTCAGTCACTGTGTGAAAAACATAGCCCTGTGAATCCTTCCATATAACTTGATAACTTGAACATGCTGCTCATTTGTTCTCTTTTGTGAAAACAGGGTGTTGATAGCCGCAGGGCCAAGGTCAGACATTTCTAGCCAGCGAGTTGCTATTCTGCAAGACCCATGGCCGGTTGGGTAGTAGGTGAGTCATTTCTTAATGATATTGTTCCTTTCTGTACTTGTATTTGTTATGGGCTACAAACTCTGATGATCTAATAAAGAGCTATGACCATGAATTCCAACTGGTCGCCTACTGGTATTTCATGGAGGGACGAATGCAGCTGTAATGAATCCCCTCGATATAATGAAAAGTAGTTTCACAGCATTGCTCCGCTTTCACAGAACCCGGAGAAGGCAAGCGAGTGTCCTGCTATTGTAAATTCAAACACATGCAATATTAATATAGCTTATGGAGCCTTACATCTCTGTGAAATGTCACCAATATAAATAGACTGATCATGTTGGTTATTTGCTGGCAAATAATAATTAATCATGAAAAGTTAATCAAACACATCCCTAAAAAAATATGTGACAGCCATAATATGATGCCCATTCAGCCCACAGACAGACAGACAAATGCACACACTCACTCACTCACATGTACTCCTTATTCATAGCTGCATGAATACAAAATGCCAATGATACTTCATCTTTAATACCTAAGGGATTTATAAGCATATTGCTTCAATAAAACCAGGTTCATCTGTACAGTGTGCAGCTCAGATATGCATATTTAATTACTCGGAAAGTAATTTACTTGTACAGATGGTGGTATTAGGGGTCTTACTTCAATTTAATTTACTTCTGCTGGTGAGAAATGTTATTTTGCTATGAATCTTTGCACAAAGAACACACTTTTATCATGGATAAATAATAACGCACAGTTTGTAATTAATACGCATGATTAATCTGATACATTCACAATAAAGATTGAAACTGAAGTTGAACACAGCCCAGACGAGTTTGATGAAAGGGAATGTTAGAAGCACTCTAAATCCTAAGTAGTGACTTCTTGAAATATCACAGGAAGTAAACTCTGCTGGCACAATGAGGATACAATGGCTACAAAGGGAGGCTCGATGATAAACCCTCACCAGAGTTGGGTTGCATTCAACTGCAGGCCCTCCAAGTGTCCCATTTTTCCCCAGGGATGTCCCTGATTTAGAGAAGCCATCCCAGTTTCTGATATGATCCCAGAATGTCCCACTTTTTGGTAGGGCATCCCTATTTTCATTCGAGAAATGTTGGAGGGTATGGTAGGATGTCCCTATTTTCACTGGAGGGTATGGAGTTATCTGACCCCCAAGACATCTGAAGGCAAGCCTTTATAGGGAAGGTTTTTTTAATGTTTAATGTTTTATTATGTTTTTATATATGTGGAAAGTTGCCCAGAGAGGCTGGGGCAACCTAGTATGATGTGCGGGGTATAAATAGTAGAACAGAATGGGACATCCCTATTTTCATCAGAGAAATGTTGGAGGGTATGCAACTGCTGTTTTCCTCCACTTGTCTTCAACCCATCACCCAGTTTGTTTCCTCACCCTAAGCTCTGGAGTATACAAGGAAGCAAAGCAGGAAGGGGTTCTGTCTGAGGTAGACAACACAGAAATGGATGCTAACTGAGGTAAAGGTACCCAGAAATAGATTCTGTTTCTGACTCTGAGGTAGATAGTCACAGAAAAGGGTTCTGCATGGGGTAGGCAGCACAGAAATGGATGCAAAAAATTAAAAAATGAAGCATTTCACCTTCTTGGGCCCAAATCTGCCTCTCCCTATGGTTCTACAGCACCAACAGAAGGATGATAAAATCACAATCTGTCACTATGGCTGCAACAAAACTGTGTGGTTGTGCTGATTCCACTGAACAGACCACCTCTTTTAACACCACTAAACAAGACCTCCCAAAATGGAAAGTAACACAGAGAATTAATTATTGTCTATGCTCTTTTTTTGTATTTACTTGGTAGGAGGAAGTGCTTTGTTGAACAAAATTGTTTTCTGGTGTTAAAAAAGAAAATTATCACGAAAAGTATTCTTGGGTTCGTTACGCTCTCAAAACTGAGCATTTTTCTTCTATTAAATGCGGCATCCTGCATCTCAGAGGCAGCATTATACCACATGCCACTGCGGTTGCTATGGTAAGCGTTCATGTTTTATTGAACAGTAAATGGACACAATCCCCTAAATGACTCCCATATGGCCCTAACACAAGCAACTACTTCTTTCTTTTCTTTTCTTTTTTCCAGTTTCCCCTCAGTGTTATAAGGAATATGGATTTTCAACCAACTGAAGAAAAACGCAGCCTCCTCTCTCTTCTTAATAGCACATTTTCCCTCTAGTTAGTCAATGTTTTCTTTTAAAAGATTAAAAAAGCATTTCCAAAGAATTATGAATGGGATGCACCGAGGTACTGAGTAGCCTCAAATCTCACTGAAAACTAATCAGCTGAGGAGAAGAAGAAAAACCACTTTAGAACATCAGAGACAATGGATGGCTTCTTATTATTTTGTACTGTGGTAGTGATAGCTAATTACAAAACGTGCACAGATTCTCCTGCCCTCCAATGCTCTCATTTCAGCCACAGTTTATGAACTGCTAATGCCTCTGCACAGAGAACTCAGATATATTTACCTAGAGCACATGCTCCCCACAAAACGATTAACAAACCTCCCTAGAGCCACCTTCTGACGATAGTCAGGCAAAGGGACTGACTGTCCCAAGCTGAAGGGGCAAAGCAGGGAGAAAGGGACTGTGGAGCTGCCTCTTGGGCCTCATCCCAACAGTGTGCAGTTCCTCCAAGCAATTTGGAGCAGCTTCTCTGCCACCTCTGAGATCTGAGAACAGGGGTGCCAATTTGAATAAAAAATTGGGGGGGGGAGAGGTGAGCCTCACCTTGCATAAACAATCACATGACACAGTAAAAAAGGTAAAGGGACTCATGAAAGTTAAGTCCAGTCATGAATGACTCTGGTGTTGCGGCGCTCATCTCACTTTACTGGCCAAGGAAGCCGGCGTTTGTCTGCAGACAGTTTTTCCGGGTCATATGGCCAGCACAACTAAGCCGCTCCTGGCCAAACCAGGACAGCACACAGAAACGCTGTCTACATTCCAGCTGGAGTGGTACCTATTTATCTACTTGCACTTTGATGTGCTTTCAAACTGCTAGGTTGG